TCCAGCATCGGCAGTTCCTACTATCTCTGAATTGAGAAAGATAGACTCCTTCTGTTCAAGAAGGAAGCTTGGATGTTCTTCTGGGACTTGTCTATCCTGATGAGATGGAATCCTTGCTTGAAGAGATGGGATGACATATTGGAAACACTGAAACACTGAAAGGGAAGGTGGTCTCATTAGAAGAGATGTATGAAAAGGGAGGAAATGGGAGAATGGAGTCCTTCGAGAAAGAGTGGAGGTGTAATTAAGGTAGCTGTGGGAGTTGGCAGGATTTAGCTGGATAAAGTCTGCATCTCTTTCTGTTAACAAGAGTCTCCTTAGACAAAGGGATCATGAATTATCAGGGGTTGATGTGAAAATGGAGCTCAAAAGACAACTCGAAAGACAAGGGGTTGAATGGTCTACTCCTGCTCCTAATTTATCTGTTTGTAATCTTTGTTTACTTCGTCCATGTGTACAGCAAGTTCTTATTCTTTGGAGGAACATACTAAAATGGGGCCCTTTATATATAAGGCTCTACACCATTTGTTCCAAGGGCCAAATAAGAGTTGGGTAGAATTGTGACTGGAGTTTACAAGGAAAAATATTGATGGTCAACTACTTCAGGGAAAATGATCCTGTGCTGCCAGGAGATAGTAAGGACTGCAGATGCTGGAAGCTAAAGTCAATAAATGTGGAGCTGGAAAAGCACAGCTGGTCAGACAGCATCCGAGGAGCAGGAAAGTCGACTTTCAGCCCGAAATGTGGACTTTCCTGCTCCTTGGATGCTGTCTGACTGGCCGTGCTTTTCCAGCTCCACATTTATTGATCCTGTGCTGCTAGACTGTTGCTGTATCCTGTGTTTTACAACTTGCCAGACTTGAATTTTATAGATTCTAAGACTGGAGTAGAAATCACATAATGCTTTATTAGTAATTGAGGACAAATTCATTATGATGTTCCTATACCTGCAGTTTTAATAAAAACTAGCCCATCAAGATTTAGCTTTCAAGGATGGAGATACAATTTCGTTTCATTGTGACAGAGGTATCCCTGCGATTGGTTACCTGCCTCTGAAGGTTAAGTTGGCTGCATGCCTCTCCTGTAACTGGATAGTTCTTGAAGTTTAGCTGGTACTCGGGATTTGATACAACAAAGAAATGTTGATGCTAGAAATCTGCAACTAAAACAATTAGCTAGAGAAACTCAGCAGGCCTGGCTGCATCTGAGGAGAGAAAGAAGGAGTCCAGTGACTCCTCTTCATCCAGCAACAATCAGTTCTGATGCAGGGTCACTGAGCTTGAAATGTTAAGCCTGCTTTCTCTCCACTGATGCTGTCAGACCTATTAGGTTTCTCTAGCATTTTGTGATTTTGACTCATTGATTTGTTAACTGTCTGCTTTGACGACACTACAGTCCTATCTATTTCACTGTTTAATGAGGTCATTCTCAGAGTCTGCCAGATATTGCCTCCTTTTGCATCTCAACAATAGCAATCAATATCATTACACCTTTGAGTTACGTTTGCAATCGTTGTAAGTGCACCTTTTATATAATTGGCCTATTACAATTTAAAGATCATTTCAGTGAATTCATAAAGCTTAAAGAAATTCTGCACTGTTTGGTTAATGGTAGGCCAGCTTTTCCTCCAGAATGACTTGCAGCTGTGTAATGTTGTAATTAGCTCAATCAGAGGGTTGATCCTCTCTCAATCATTTCACAGCTTTGCCACTTTTCTAATTAAACACTGGAATAAAGCAGATAATTCTTTATAATGCTTTCAGTCATCCTGCCAAAATGTCAAAAACCTTCAGTAAGCTGTCATTAACCCAATGCCAGAGAAGGATAGGCACTCAGAACAAAAGACCAAACTCGAACCTGAGGCAGCATAATTCAAAGTCAAGACAGAAAAGCACAAAACCAGTTCCAGTCTTTTGAAATCTTTAATTATAGTTCGATTTTCTGATGCAGGGTCGAAAAAGAAAATAGGCATTCGTTAGAAAAGAAGGATAGGATAGTGGGTGCATGAAGGAACTTTATGAAAGGTTGTGTAAAAAGAAGGAAACATTGGAAAAGCTTAAAATAAATTCCACAAGCAAAGACTGAATGATTGATTGGAATGCAAGCTCCTGATTTTTGCAGCAATATCTGATTAAGACGTTCACCCTGGACAATTACTACAAGGTCAAGTAATGAAAACCAGCCTTCCTTCCATTCACTCCATCTACAATTCCTGCTGTCTCGAGAAAGCAGCTAACATAATCAATAACTCCTCTCACCCCAATTATACTCTCTTTCACCCTCTTCCATCGGGCAGGAGATACAAAAGTTTGAAAACACGTACTGACAGATTCAAGATCAGCTTTTTCCTTGCTGTTATCAGACTTTTGAATGGACCTCTTATGCATTAGTTCATCTTTTTCTGCACCTTATTTGTAGCTGTAACACTATATTCTGCATTCTCTTCTATTACACTGATGCACTTATGTAAGGTAGGATTGTCTGGGTAGCACACAAAGTAACGCATTTCACTGTATTGTGGTACATGTGACAATAATAAGTCAAATAGACTCAATGATTTTTGTCTGGACTTCAAAGCTCAAACTATAATTTTTAAAAACTGTTTATGATACATTGCTTCCATGCCATAATTATTATCTAGAATGTAAAAACAAAACTAGAAAATATAATTTATGTTA